AAAAAAAAAAAAAAAAAAGAAATTCTAAATTCTGTTATTTAATGCACTGAGGTAAGAAAATTTATCTGGTATAACAACACCTATCTCTTTGTTTGTAAAATAGTACATTAAATAAATGTATATAAGGCCTGGTGCAGTGGCTCATGCCTATAATCCTAGCACTCTGGGAGGCCGAGGAAGGAGGATTGCTTGAATTCAGGAGTTCGAGACCAGCCTGAACAAGAGCGAGACCCCCATCTCTACTAAAAATAGAAAGATTAGCCAGGAGTTGTGACGCGTGCCTGTAGTCCCAGTTACTTGGGAGGCTGAGGCAATAGGATCACCTGAGCCCAGAAGTTTGAGGTAGGAATGAGCTACCATGACGCCACTGCACTCTACCCAGGGCAACACAGTGAGACTCTGTCTTAAGAAAAAAAAATAATAAAATAAAAATGAATGAATAAATAAACGTATAAAGTTGCTAGGGGAGGTGGCGAGGACATGATAAAGCCATGGTTCTAATGCCTAATTTAGACTTAGTTTGCTAAGTCTATTACAGTTCTCGAAAGGTTGATTTCAGTATTGTCAGGCACTTTCTCTGGTGTGATAGCAATGATCAATCTCCATAACTTTTTAAAAACCAGCAGGGTCTAGTAAGTAGACTATGTTCTACCGGGCTCAGAATTGCCAAACAGATTTACATTTAAGGAGCAGAAGGTACAGAATAATAAATGTTGATCATAAGCCAAGAATTTGGTGTGGACTGTAGAGTTTATAAAACCAGCTAAGTCTCAAAAGCAAAACTTAGCTATTGACCTCACAAGAAAGAGATGAAGGAACAATTCCTAAGTCTATTTTAAACTTCTTGTTATTTACTATTACTTCTCAAAACTGGAAATCTTATGAAAATGGCATAGTTCCTGAAGCTGAAATGCTATGAAAATTTTTCTTTTGCAGAAGATTACTTTACCTATACCATGGGCACCACGCGCAGGAGTTCCCATCTTTCTGCACAACTCGTAGAGTGAACGGATATTGATAGCCCATACTGTCATCGCTGAAACAGAAGGGAACATAAACCAAAGAGCATAATAAGCATTTCTGGGGTGAAGTCCAACTCCTTTTCATCGTGCTTTGAAATAAACCTAGGAAGGGGCATTTGCCATTGCAATATGTTGACGGCTCAATGCAGTTTATCCTAATCCATTGGCTGCAGTCCCATGCCAACCACACGCTGGACTTCTATGCTGTATCCCTGCTTACAAAGGATAAGACATACTAGACTGCCAAATGTCTCTAAGAAAGTCCACGTGGTCCACAAAATTTTTACAACATAAGCTAATCAAGAAATCAAACACCAATTATCTTAGTCCTAATTTTATTTAATTCGCATTAAACTGAAATAATTAGGCCTTTCCATGACAAGAACACTGACACATCACAGAAGGCTGTGTATATTCTGAAGTCTTCTTTAATCAAAATCCCTGATGTGGTACATGCCAGGTACTGCCTCCTCCCTGTCTTAGCTACTCAAAGCTGTAAGCTACATACTATTCTTAGAGTAACTTAACTGCCAACAGTTGTTTCAAGATAGCCCTTTGAGTTCTCCAACTTTTAAAAAAATTTACTCATCCTTGCCCTACCAAGAAGCAATGCAACAATTTATAGATATATCAAAACATCAAGTTGTACACCTTAAATATATGCAATTCCTATTTGTCAATTATAGTTCAATAAAGCTAGGGGAGAAGAAGTAATAAAAGGAATATAACATAAAAGTGGTATTCTTTACAGCTCATTTGGTAATTGGTAGCAACTGTTACATGGCTGCTGAAGGTAATGAAATCATGATAAAGCATCACTGTAAGTGCTAAAGTCCGTATCATGTCTGGCACAGGAGTTCCTTTCTTTCTGCATAACTTGTCCAGTGAATGATGATTGATAGCCTAAACTGTCTAGTATCATGTCTAAATCATGTCAACAGTGAGTGAGGAATCAAAAGAAAGATAAAGGGACAAAAAAATCAAGTGACACTCTCATAGGGAACTGTGCAACACCTCTCTTCTGAAAATATCCTTTACCTTTTTGCTCTAACTGAATGAAGCCTGGCTTTCTTGAAAATCCTGCTTCCCATACAGTCTCTTTAGTGCTCTTTATTCTCAAACATCCCAGAACTTGGAGGTAATGTGGATTTCCTCCTCACTCCTCTTTGCCACTTCTAGATGATTTCTCCTTTCTTCCTTTTCCTGAACAAAGTCCAGCTTCTTTGTAGCATGTGCTATTGAATTATGCCAACTACTATTCCTCTTTGGAAGGTGCATCTCTTCTTTATTCACTAAAGATTTTAGCACCTGGTTCACTGTTTTTCTTCCACCATTTCTCTTGTTAATATTCTTGGTGACATCAACATCAATGTAATTAACCCAACAATACCTTGGCCTTCTGTCTTCCAACAATAATTTTCCTCCATACCGTGTGATCCAGTCTCTCCAACTGTCATATTATAAACTATGTTAATACAAACTTTACTACCTCCAAAATCTCAGTTTCAAGTATCCTACTTTGCAACCACCAACTCTTATGCTTTTGGGTCACTTATTCAAATATCCCTACTCTAACAATTCTTTGATCCAACAGAAACTTCCAATCCCTACCCTCCCACCCTCCCTTTCTTCCCTACCCACTGTACTTCAAAACAATCACTCTTCTGTATAGACCCTTAATTCCAGGAATTTGTTCATTTAATCCCATTTTCAAACTTACTGACATAAACACTCACAAAAATAGAGAACTGTACAATGAACCCCAACGTATTCAATATATTCATCTAGATGAGGACTTGCAAATGAATTGGATGTGGAGAATAAGGGAAAGAGGAGTCAAGGCTGGGTTTTCAGCCTGAACAATTGTCTGTGAATGGTGGTACCATTTAATGAAAAGAGGAAAACTAGAGGAGCAAGTTTTGGCAAGAAATGACAGGAAACAAGTTAAATTCAAGATGTCTGTTATATATTCAAGTGGGAAATTCACTTGAGTGTTTTTTCCTGGAGATATAAATATAGATGTTCTCAGCAAATAGTTGGTATTTAAAACCCTGAGACCAGATGATATAATTCAGAGAGTGAGAATTAGATAGAAAAGATGCCCAAGATCTAATTCCTGATGTAGTCCAACATTTAGAGGTTGGAAAAGGGAACGCAGCAGCAACAAAGGAGGCTTCTCAGGAGCAGCCAGTAATGTAAGAAGAAAACCAGGAGTGAGCAACTAACCAGAAGTTAAGTAAAGCAAGAGCAGTGGTTTCTAATGCTACAGAGAGCTTGAGTAAGAAAAGGACTGGGAATTGCCCACTGGATTTGACAAAATAGCAGTCTTTAGTGACCTCTGGGCAAGCTTTTAGTGGAATGGTATAGATAAAGGCATGGGGGTTGGAGTGGGTTAAAGATAGAATGGTCCTTCAGACATTAAAAAGATAATAAGAGCTTGTCTTTTAGAAATACACACTGAAATATTCATGAATGAAATGAAAAAATGCCTCTGATTTCCATCAAAAGAATCTAGTGGGTCACAATAGCTAAAATGTGGAAAAACCCAAGCATCCATCAACAGATGAATGGATAAACAAAATGTGGCATAAACATACAATGGAATATTATTCAGCCATAAAAAGGAATGAAGTTCCGGTACATACTACAACATGGATGCATCTTGAAAACATGCTAAGTGAAATAAGCCAGACACAAAAAGACAGGTGTTACATGATTTCACTTTTATGAGGTACCTAGAATAGGAAAGTTCACAGAGACAGAAAATAAATTAGAGAACCAGTGTCTGGGAAGGAAATGCAGGGGGATTGCTTAGTGGGTTTGAGTTTCTGTCTGGGAAGGTTAGAAGGTTCCGGAGATGGATGGTTGTGATGGTTGTACACCATTGTAAATGTACTTAATGCCACTGAATTTTACACCTAAAAATGATTAAAATCGTAAATTTTATGTTATGTATATCTTACCACAATGTTTTAAAATGAGGGAAATATAGACTCTAGTGGGGTTGGTAAGGGTATGGATGAAATAAAAGTGGTCAAGAGTTAATGATGACTGTACTTCAACTCTATAAATTATATCATCTGGTCTCAGGGTTTTAAATATCAACTATTTGTTGAGAACATCTATATTTATATCTCCAGCAAAAAACACTCAAGTGAATTTCCCACTTGAATATATAACAGACATCTTGAATTTAACTTGATTCCTGTCACTTTTTGCCAAAACTTGCTCCTTCTCCATCTAGTTTTCCTCCTTTCATCAGATGGTATCAACACTCGCAGACAATTATTCAGGCTGAAAACCCAGCCTTGACTCCTCTTTCCCTTATACCCCACATCTAATTCATTTGCAAGTCCTAGGAAAAGCCCTCATTTAGAAGAAGCCATTTAACTAAATCAGACTTTCACTTCAAATTTGCTCAACTGTCATTTTTACTAAACACAACACTCATCAACTAAATTGCGTATCTATTATCTGCAGTTTTTAAGATTTATTTACCTTAAGCACTAATGCTAATCATCAAAAGACTTCACATCATAACAAATAAGCAAAAAGAACTTTTTCACTCAGTTATTACAGAAGCAGAACTTTCATTTGCACTATGATAGCCAAAAATGATCTGCAATTTAATTGAGATACAAAAAAGACATCACAATCCCCACAATTATTAAAAGTAAATGCATTTACTAATCTAACACAACAGTGGTAGGAGGAAGGGAAAGAAAACAGAAAATGTTTATTATCTTTACCTAGATTTATAAAATTATTCCACATTAAAATGACATGGTATGTGATATGGTTTGGATGCTTGATCCCTCCAAATCTCATGCTGAAATCTAATCCCTAGTGTTGGAGGTGGGGCCTGGTGGGAGGTATCTGGGTCACCACTCCAGAGGGCATGAGCCTTAAGCCTTGGCAGCTTCCACATGCTGTTAAGTCTGCAGGCATGCAGAATGCAAGAGTGATGGAGGGTTGGCAGCTTCCACTTAGATTTCAGAGGATGTATGGAAAAGGTTGGGCGCCTAGGCAGAAGCCTGCCACAGGGGCAGAGCTGTCGCGGAGAGACTATACTAGGGTAGTGATGAGGGAAAATGTGAGGTTGGAGTCCCCACAGGGGCACTGCCTAGTGGAGCTATTGGACGGGGGTCACTGCTCTCCAGACCCCAGAATGGTGGAGCCACCAACAGAATGCACCCTCAGCCTGGACAAGCTGTAGGTACCAGACTCTAACCTGTGAGAGCAGTCATGTGGGCTGTGCCTAGCAAAGCCATGGGGCTGGGGCTGCCCATGGCCTTGGGAGCCCACCGCTTGCACCAGCATGCCCAGGGTGCGGAACATAGGTCAAGGGAGATCATTCTGGATTTAATGATCTGTCCCGCTGGGTTTTGGGATTGCATGGGGCCTATTGCCCCTTTCTGTTAGCCGATTTCTCCCTTCTAGAATGTGAATGTTTACCCAATGCCTATACCATCATGGTATCCTGGAAGTAAATAACTTGTTTTTGATCTCACAGGCTCACAGCTAGAAGGAACATGGCTCTGTCTGTTATCTTTCCAGTAAAAATCACAACAAAGAAAAGAAAAAAAAAAAAGGAACTTGGCCTGAGTCTCAAATGAGACTTTGAACTTTTGAGTTGATGCTGGAAAGAGTTAAGACTTTTGGGGACTACTGGAAAAGGATGATTATATTTTGCAATTTGAGAAGGACATGAGATGTGGAGGGGCCAGGGGCAGAATGATATATATGGCTTGGATGTTTGGCCCCTCCAAATCTCATGTTGAAATTTGATACCCAGTGTTGGAGGTGGGGCCTGGTGGGAGGTGTTTGGGTCATGGGGACAGATCCCTCATGAATGGCTTGGTGCCCTCCCCGCGATAATGAGTGAGTTCTCACTTTATTAGTTCACACAAGAGCTGGTTGTTTAAAAGAGTCTGGTACCACCTCCTCCCTCTCTTGCTCCTTCTCTTGCCATGTGACATGCCTGCTCCCTCTTCACCTTCTGCCTTTATTGGAAACTCCCTGAAACTCTCACCAGAAACAGATGCTAGCACCACACTCCCTGTACAGTCTGCAGAACCGTGAATCAAATAAGCCTCTTTTCTTTATAAATTACTTAGTCTCAGGTATTCCTTTATAGCAATGCAAAATGGACTAATACAATATGGAAACAACCCAAGTGAATCATTTGTTATAGCATGAGACCTTTTCAAAGTTCACGTATAGACATTTGCACTGACACTTTCATTCTGTCTTTCAGAGGACTGAGATTATACAAATTTCTTGGTGAATTCATACTCTCTCTCCACTTTTGCAACAACAGAAGACAAGGATATTACCTGAAGCATTGGCAGGACAGATTTAGGTAAGAGATTAGAGAATGGAAGGATTATTAGACACTAGAAGGTTTAGGAGACAAAAGGAAGCTGTATAGTCTCTTCTACTCTAAATATCAAACCAAATGGTTAATATGCTCTCTGAACGGTTCTTTCAAGAATGATTAACTTGACATGGAATGGGTCTTATAAATCACACAGAATTCATATAAATTATTCTTCTGGAGTTTGGAAGCCACAAGTCTTGGCTGATCCCCCAAACTCACCAATCCTGAGCGTGATTACTAGCTTCCTGAGGTGGGAGTGGGCTGGCTAATCGAGATACTTGAATCCAAACTGCATCATATAGGTCTTTCTTCCGTGTATGCACAGTACATGGAACAATCAATGGCATTCCAAAGAGGCTGGGGCGATTCTTCTGAGATGACAGGAAATACAGTTCTGTCCTCATCTATGTGTACAAACAAGAGAAGAGGGAACTGAAAAGACGAGCCTCTGATTCCTCTCTTTTGTTCTTTTAACACTGCCAATAACAGCCATTACCACCATTTTCAAATTCGTCACCATCACATTGTTCTCCTTATTTATATAATCGTATTTATTAGTATGAAGAGAATGGTTATTTACAATGAAATTATGGAAAAGTTGAGCTATTGCCAATTTCAGAGTTGTTGCCTATCTATAAAATTTGAATTTCAGCAATTAATATATTTTCTCTGATAAACAATCCTCACATATACTGAATCATATGTAAAAACTAGTAATAGTTTCATAGCTCAAGGCTTTTAAACAACTAAAATTCTTTCTTTCTCTAGAAAATGTGCCAGTAAAGGCCAGGCACAGTGGCTCGCACCTATAATCCTAGCACTTTGGGAGGCTAAGGTGAAAGGATTACTTGAGGCCAGGAGTTCAAAACCAGCCTGGGCAACATAGCAAGACCCTGACTCTAAAAAAAATAGAAAAATTAGTCAGCTGTGGTGCCACATGCCTGTAGTCCCAGCTACTTGGGAGGCTGAGCCAGGAGGATTGTTTGAGCCCAAGAGTTTGAGGTTACAGTGAGCTATGATGGCACCGCTGCACTCCAGCATGGGTGACAGAGTGAGACGCTGTCTCAAACAAAACAAAACAAACAACAACAACAACAAAAAAAGCCATTAAACAAAAAACTTCCCTCAAAATGCAATTTTTCTTTTCTTTTTTTTTTCTTTTTTTTGAGACAAGGTCTTGCTCTGTCACCCAGACTAGAGTGTACAGTGGCATGATCATAGCTCACTGCAGCCCTGAACTCTTGGACTCAAAGCAATCCTCCCGCCTCACTCAGCCTCCTGAGTAGCTGGGACTATAGGCATGCACCATCACACCCAGATAATTAAAAAAAATTTTTTTTTATAGAGATGGGGTCTATGTTGTCTAGGCTGATCTGGAACTCCTGGCCTTAAGAATTCCCCCACCTTGGCCTTCCAAAGTGCTGAGATTACAGATGTGAGCCACACCACCTGGCCCAATTTTCTAAGAATAAGCTGTTGATAGTGGTTGTTAGAGCAGCAATTCCTAAATTTTTGGAGATTTGTGCAATTCAGTTATTTAATTTCACAACTTATGCACCTTCCTAAAAGCAGCTAAGTGGCTTTAGTCTTTTTGTTTTTTAAATATGTGATAGAATAAAAGGTAAAATTTTAAAAATTTCACTTTGAGTATGTCAAAGAGATTTCTATGATATTCTTTAATATAGAGATATTACACAGAATTAGCTTGGAAATGGCTGCTTAATAAAAGTTTAGTATAATAGAATGATTGGTGGGAATTCAAGATCACTTGAAAAGCCTGGACATTTAATTCTTTGAGAAGTTTGGTTGGTGTGAGTAGTTAGAAAAGTTAAATCAATGATTTATAAACTCACTAGGGGTTAGTTAGTTTCTAAGTAAAAAGACCATTCTTTATTATTTCAGATTCTTCAGGATTTTATTTTGCCATTATTCATTTAAGCTTAAATATGTGATTTTAAGACCCTGTGTTATGTGTTAGCAGGACCCACAGACATAGTTCAGTATAAATATTTTATAAAATTTTAAACTTAGCTAAACTCACACAAATTTTATCCTCTCATAGGTAACTTCTCCCAGGGCTTTGAGTTCCACACCTGCTCAGTTCCTCAAGGGAAAAATTCCATTCCCAGTTCTGTTGCACCAGGAATTCTCTTTTTGTCCTCTCTTAACAACTTTTTCTTTCACCTGAAAAAACTCAACTTGCTCTAACTGTGCCAAGTTCTTACCCCATTTCTTTACTTGATGACATTGCCAAACTCTTTTCAGTTTTCATTCTTTTACTTCTCTGACCACTTTTTTCTTTTTAAAAATTGACTCATCATTTAGTTGTGTCAGTACACTGTTTTCCTATTTCTCCCTTTACCTCTCTGAATATTCTTGCCTATTTTGCTTATGCCTTATTACCTTTCTTTTTCTACCCTGAAGAAGGGAGTACATGAAAAATAAATTGCTTTCAAAGTAACTCAACAATAAGACTAAAAGTAGTAATTTAAAAGAAGAACTTAAAAGGGCATAATGATGTACTGAATATGAGGTTTTAGAAAAGAAGGAAAAAAATCTAAAAATACTTTCCGGTTTCAGCCTTTAGCATTGGATGAACAATGCTGCCTTTCACAGAAATAATGGGATAAGAGAATTGACTTGGGACAGGCAATAAAATCAATTTTAAGCATTCCCAAAAGCAACTGGCTAGGTCATGAAGGAAACTGGAAATAGAGAACTGGCTATACGGTAAAAACTTAGGGCCAGATGTGGTGGCTCATGCCTCTAATCCCAACACTTTGGGAGGCTGAGGCAGGAGGAGTTTGAGACCAGCCTTGGCAACACAGCAAAACTTCATCTCTACAGAAAAAAAATTAGTTCATCGTGGTCGCCCTTGCCTGTAGGCCTGTAGTTCCAGCTATTAATATTAGGGAGGCTGAGTGAGGTGGTGGATCACTTGAGCCCAGGAGTTCAAGGCTGCAGTCAGCTATGATCACACCACTGCACGCCAGCTTAGGCAATGAAGACTCTATCTCTAAAAAAAGAGTAAAAAGAAAAAAAGAGTAAAAATTTAGAGATGACAATATATATTTATGGTCCAATAATTATAAAAATCCTGTACATAATACTCAAGTATATACTAAGTACTGTATATAACATTACATATACAGGATAATTGAAGAAAGCCATTTTCTTAGAAAGACAAAAAGTACATCAGAGTACTTAATATATAATCTGATAATGTCTGGAAAAAAGGGATGGAGAAATGCAGAATAATCCAATTATTTTAGCTTATGGCACCAGTTATAGCTGTGCTTAACAACAATTCCAAGTCACAAATACATGCCGTGGTTCTCTAGACTGTCCATTCACACTACTCATCTTTGTTATAAATCAAGTGTTCATACATGTGTGAAATTGTTTCTGGGCTCTCTATTCTATTCTTTCTTTTTTTTTTTGAGACAGAGTCTCACTCTGTCATCCTGGCTAGAGTGCAGTGGTGTCATCATAGCTCACTGCAACCTCAAACTCCTGGACTCAAGTGATCCTCCTGCCTCAGTCTCCCAAGTAGCTGGGACTACAGGCGCATACCACCACAGTATTTTTTTCTATTTTTGATAGAAATGGGGTCTCACACTTGCCCAGGCTACTCTTGAACTCCTGACCTCAAGGGATCCTCCCACCTTGGCCTCCCAGAATGCTAGGATTATAGGCATTAGCCACTGAGCCTGGCCTCTATTCTATTCTTGGTCTATTTCTTTTCTCACACCAATATCACATTATTGTATCATATCTTCATAAAATAAATCTTGATATTTGGTAGCTCAATTTCTCATGCCGTATTCAAGTATGCCTTGGTTATTCTTTGTAATCCACATGTGAAAATCAGCTTATTAAGTTACACACCGCCCCCACCCATACCATTAGCATCATTTTTATTGGTATTGTACATTGACTCTGTAGATAAGTTTGTGGAGAACTGATATCTTTAAAATATTAAGTGTTCTAATCCATGAACCTAGTCTGTTCCTTCCAATATTTAAGTCATCTTTAATTTCTATCAATATTTTGTGTTCTATATAGATGCCTTGTATATTGTTTTTAAAGTTTATTCTTAGGTACTTAATTTTTGTTTGGTACTCAACATTTTTAATACTATGATAAATGATATCTGTAGTGGGTTGAATTGTGGCCCCTAAATATGTCCATGTTGTAACCCTTGGAACCGGTGAATGTGACCTCATTTGGCAAAAGGGTTTTTGCATATAATTAAGTTGAGGATGTCAAGATGAGATCTTCCTGGATTATCCAGGTGGGCCCTAAATTCAATGACAAATGTCTTATAAAAGAAAGGCAGAGGGAGAAGAAGAAGGCCGTGTGAAGAGATTGAAGTTATGCAGTCACAAGTCAAGGAATGCCTGGAGCCACCAGAAGTTGGAAGAGGTAAGGAGGCTTTCTCCCCTACAGCCTTTGGAGGGAGCTGAAAGCCTGCTGAAACCTTTATTTCAGACTTCTAACCTCCAGATTGTGAAAGAATAAATTTCTGTTGTTTAAACACATCAAGTTTTTTGGTAATTTGTTACAGCAGTCCTAGGAAAAATATAGTACATTTTTTACAATTTCATTTTCTCTTGTTGATGTTATGTAATTAATGTGCTTGATTTTTTTACACTGACTTTGCATCCTTACAAAGCTTAGTTCATCTGTTCTTTATATAAGTAGGGAATGGTACATTTTATCCAATAAATATAATAAATAAGATGGGAATAAAAAATAAAGTTAATTTTTGAACAGAAGTAGGAGTAAGTAATGGATCTTAGAAATTATCTAGGAGCCCTGCTCCTTTAACTTTATAAAATTAGGATACCAAAGTCCAAAAAACTCAATCAGCTACCTAGTGGCAGGATTAGAATTAAAACAAAGGTTGCTTGATTTCTAGTTCAGTGCCCTTTATACTCTACCCAGTTGCTACTGTACCTGATGAATACCTCCTTAACAATTGTCCACTGATCAGTTTTTAAATCTTCCTTTGTTTTTTATCAAAGAGTCAGATTTTTATGCAATAGTTTTATATTAGTCTATTAAGGGAGACATTAGGCACAATTTGCTGGAGTGCAGTGGCTATTCACAGGCATGATCATCAAGGCACATTACAACCTTGAAGCTGTAGGGCACTGTGATTCATGTCCGTAATTCCAGCACTTTGGTAGGCTGAGGTGGGAGGATTGTTTGAGGTCAGGAGTTGGAGACCACCCTGGGCAACACAGTGAAACACTGGTACAAATAAATTAAACCAGCCAGGTGTGGTGGCATGTGCCTATAGTCCTAGCTACTTGAGAGGCTGAGGCAGGATTGCTTGAGCCCAGGAATTTGAGGTTACAGTGTGCTATGATTGGGCCACTGCACTCCTGCCTAGGTGACAAGGTGAGTAAGACCCTGTGTCTTTAAAAAAAAAAAAAGAGGAAATACATTCAGTGAAGATGTTGCAAAGACAGAAAATGGCTATGTTTCACAAATGACACTGGCAAGACCAGCAGTTAAGTTGCCTAACATTTAACTAACCATTTTTCGGTGGATTGCAATGATGTAGCCTGTAAAGGGGTTGTCAGGAAGAGATGGCATATGACCATTCACCATTCCATTTGTGAAGTTCTTCTCAGTTCCACATGGCACAACAGTGTTTGGCATTCCATTGGGGATGAATATTGGTCGGGGTAGGTCCCCATTGGTAGTCAGGGTGAATACTCCATTCGTAGATGGGGAAGAAGAGAAGTCTATGAATTCAAAGATAAATACAGCATCATAAGCTTGTAGAACCTCCATCTTTGCTCTTTTCTCATGTATCCTGAGGAAATGGACCATTGACAGTGCGGTCTTTTTTAACACAGGACAAGGAAAAATCATAATTAAAATAACAATTCTAGATTTATTGGAAGATTGTAATTTCAGATTTTATTTTCATAACTCACAATTATGACTAAATGGCAAAGCAAGAGTAACTATTGGAAACTGTTAAGCAGAATGTCTAAAAAAACCTTTATCAGCACCATGTTGTGGCATACAAACAGTTCTATCACTTGTTTTCTTTTTCCTATTCTCTAAAATGCATTTCTCCATTCCTCTAAAAATATTCTGTCCAATACAGTAGCCTCCAGTCAGATACTGCTTTTTAAATTTAAATTAAATTAAATATGCATTCCCTTAGGCTCACTAGCCACATTTCAAGTGCTCAACAGCCCATGTGACTAGTGGATAATGTACCAGATGGCAAAGATTATAAAAAGTTTCCATCATGCCAGAATTCCATTGGACAGTGATGCTGTAAACAAAAAACAACATTAAATCATATCTACCATGTGCCAATGAGAGGAGCCTCATTCTTCATGAAGCCCTTTATAGTAGAGGAATTAACCTAAGTATAAACAGTATAAAGAAAAATAGACAAAGCATACTAATGATCAAAAGGGCTCACTGAATGACCATGTTAAATCACACATAAACTTCGATAAACAGATTCCTTTCTACCTATATTTATTGTTTGTATTTTCTGGTAGTATGTTTCTCTCATACTATCCACTGCTGTATTAGTATTAGATAGAAGTTAAAAGAGATCTGAATTCCAGTGGTATATTAGCTAATAACTACCTAACTTAACTCACAAAGGTTCTCTAAATTTTAGGATCCTCATCTACAAAATGAGGAATGATCAGTAAGGTTTTCCTTGGGTTCCAAAATTCTTTTGCTCTAATATCCTTAGTGCAACTAATATAAAAAAGATGACAACTCCTAGGCCAATAATTAAAGCTTCAGATTATGAAAGGAGCTCTGGTTCTATCTTACCTGTCTGTGTTGGACTAGAAGCTGAAATTGGAGATGCAGGAACAGGAATTTCAAATGCACACAAAAATCCACTCACTGAAAGTCGCACTTTTTGGTTGTCCTGAGGGAAGTTCTACAGAAAACCAGTAAGATGAGAAGGGGGTGATGTTTCAGATAAAATGGAAAAATTATCTGTCTGATGTACTTGAAGAGAATATGTCTTAGATGTTTTCATCAGTAAAACAAACAAGATGACAATAATTTTTCTCAACTTAGTAAAGAATGAATGCTTGATAAAATAACTGAAAACTAACCTCAGTGCAGAGAAAACTGTTATCTCTTTGCACAGGAAGTATGTTGTTTAAGACTAATTTCTTAAGCTTCATTCTTCATTTCAAGCATCCATGCCCCAAACTCGCCCTTTTGCATGTCATATTAAGAAAATGTCAATGAGGTGGAAGTGTGTTCAGAAACCCCAAAGATGAGTGTAAATGATACCAATGATAGGTAGCTTAGTTTAGAGTAGGCAACACATTTATTAGATTATTTCTTTCCCCACTGGTATGCAGGAAGACATGATGGGTGTTAATCTGTCTTTACTCTCTATTTTCTTAGGGTATTGAAAGGGCAAGTACATATATTCATAAATAAATATTAAAAACATACATTCATAAACACACAAAATACTTTAACCTAGGAAGAATTCTAGTGACAGTGATAATACAGAAGAGATGGTAAGTGAATCAGCAGCACTCTCTGGAGGAAACCTATGCTATACTGACACAGCTAGATCACGCCATATAGGTAGCCTTACCTAGTTCTCTTTAAAAATAATAACGTAATTAATATTCCTTTATCTTTTTTTTTTGGAGACAGGGTCTTGCTCTGTCATCCAGGCTATAGTACAGTCCTTTATCCTTTTAATAAGTTTCTGGGTTGGAAAACTTGCTAAGTTTTTTTGTTAAGTTTTTATTATGTGGTTTTTTTTTTTTTTTTTTGAGACAGAGTCTCACTCTGTTGCCCTGGCTAGAGTGAGTGCCATGGCATTAGCCTAGCTCATAGCAACCTCAAACTCCTGGGCTCAAGCAATCCTTCTGCCTCAGCCTCCCGAGGAGCTGGGACTACAGGCATGCGCCACCATGCCCGGCTAATTTTTTCTATATATTTTTAGTTGTCTGGATAATTTCTTTCTATTTTTTTTAGTAGAGACAGGGTCTTGCTCTTGCTCAGACTGGTCTCGAACTCCTGAGCTCAAACAATCCGCCGGCCTCAGCCTCCCAGAGTGCTAGGATTATAGGCGTGAGCCACCGCGCCCGGCCTTTATTATGTTTTAATATCTCCCTCTGTCATTTAACATAACAATTTATTGATTTACTATATTGATAATAATTGAGAAAGCTGTGATCTTTGAAGGACAGAATCAAAGGTTTCCTAGAAAAAGTAGTTAATATTACCTTTATGTTGGAACCATGCACTTCTGCAAGAAGGATTTGTTCTGAATTAAGTCCACAGAGATCACTCAGCTGTTTTTTTAAACCAGTGTACTTTTCATCCATATTCAGTCTTAATCCGTATCGTACAGGGGTAGTACCATCTAACTTAATTACTAGTAAAGAGAAAAGATCTTTCATCAGTAAAATGCAGGTTTCATTGAAAGTCTTAAACTCTGTGTACAGATGTATCAGACTTGCAAATGGCAAACATTTCAGCCTATAATTTTTATTTTATACATAAACGTTAAAACGGACTATACTTAGGGATAATACTGAGTGAAATCAAGATTTTTTATGTTCCTCTCATATAGAAGTGTGAGTGGCTTTGTAAGGTTTTAAAGAGAGTTTCTGGCATGTCTGAAACTAAAAAAACAACCAATGGCCACAAAACTGGGCCCATGGTCCAAATCTTTCAAACCTCAAATGATGTCTATAACTAGCTTGCTAGATTACAATATGCTGACTACCAATCTTTATGAGAATACATTGTGAACAAATAACTATACTTACAAATTTAGGCTGTTTACATAAGGTAAAGAAAATAGAATTGAATAGTTTTCCAGAACTTTGTGACCCACCTGTTATTTCTAAGTGCATATAACTGTCCATTGGTAGTGGCAAAGACAAAAAATTAAAAGGGTCAAATCGGACACTTATATGCCCACATGTCTTGCATTTGACTTGAGATCTCAGCTGCCCATGGAACAGATCCACAACAATTGATCTATTTCTTCTCAAATGGTTGTCCCAGGCCTAGTGATTAAAAAGATTATAGAACTTTCTTCTCAAAATTCAAAAGATAAGCATTTCTACACAAATTCAATAAAATAGGTTAAATATATTATATTTAAATGTAAAGAATATAATCCTTAATCTCTGCTTAAAATATAAAAGCTTTTTGCCTATAAATTTATAATTCAGATATGCAATTTAAAATGTACTGCCTACTGAGTACAGAAAGCTAGCTATTGAATAGAATTGGTCCTTTCTGCATAACCTATAAAATATTAAATTCAGATGGAAAAATCCTATTTTTCATTTGTTCTTACCATATACAATAATGAATATTAAACGTCTTTGTCCATTAAAAAGCAGATAAAACATGCCTATAGGTCACTGTATACACTACTTTAACAATTACAGGGATTCTTTAAATTCCACTAGATAATTATTCCTATATCCAGTCCCATAAAGTTTATAATGTGAAATGGCAACATTTTTAATATTTTCATTAAAGGTGCTTTTGTTTTGGTATTACTGCATAAGAATTAAGCATAGAAATAGAAACTCCTTTGTTTTCACAGCAAAATTCTGATCATAGAATAGTTTAGTTTGCATTTAAGTTGTGCTATATATACTTGTGGCCAGAACATTTTATCTATTGCTTACATTAGAAATTCAAAACTGACAAACCTCTGCAGCTACTTCCCAGTCTGGTCGGCCATCACTGTCTTTCAGTTCCACATATGGTTTCTCATGGACTCGGTTGAGATCTTCATGAAGACCATCCAAGAGAAACGCCAGGAGTTCTTGGGAGTCTTGTTGCTGGAATCCATTAAACCTGGGAGCATATTTTGCTATGGTCCACTATAAATATGAGAAGAGTCATAGTCATTATTTCCTACCCCATAAAATTGGGAATGAACATGCCCCAAAATTCTATCAGAGGTATTATAAGAAAGTAAACAGTGTAGAATTCAGCCTGCTTCTAATTCAGCAAATATATTTGGATAATCATGAACTCTTTCTAATCTTAGTCTCAAATGAACAAAAAAAAGAGAAGCGCTTTGGCCAGTACTGTGTCCCAGTTCAGTATCATATAAGCAAACTGAGTTCTTTAAGCACATAGATGTTACTTAAGACAGAAATATTAAAAGAGGATTTGCTCACACTGAAAGATTTCCTGTTCTATAATGTCTTACACATTTTATAGGTATAAAAAATATGTATATTTTATAGGTATATAAAATAATATACATACATTATTTTTTATAATGTAATGTTTTCTTCCACAGTTACATTTTCTGGTCTTGTTGTACCCTAATGTTTATTATTAGAGGCAGAATAGCATAGAGTTTAACTATGAGGACTTACTAGTTTATAATCTTGGGCTATTTCATCACTCTGAGCCTTAGTTTCCTGAGCTATAAAAAGGGGATTACATTATAGGATTATTTAGATGATGAATGAGTTAATACACATAAAAGTAATTAGACTTGCCTGGCAAGTGGCAAGTAGTCAAATTTTTAGATATTATGCTTATTAATTTTAACTTAAAAGGATTATGCCTTGTTTTTAAATAAAGGTAATAATCCTAACTTCACTAAAACCTACTACATATTAATATAAAACTTGTATCCATTAGTTATATTCTTTCATTCTGCTACACTTTTATATTCTATAGATAGAAGTAATTATCTTAGTAATATTGAAAATGTATTGGTTATAATTAATCAGATTCTGAGTTAGAATACTGCTAATAGTAAAGCATTACCAAACAAAGTTTTATTCATCATATAAGATATTTGATAAATTAGTAAAATGAATGACATCCCAAATTTAGACTGTGCCTCCAGTCTTTTCCTTCTCACTACATGTATAGCAGTATTTTGCATATATTTAAACAAGTATTTAACATCTGGTTTATGTCTAGTGAAGGATCTGAAAATATTTACTAAACTAAAAAGCTAAACATACAAAACAAGTAGAGAAAAAGAATTACAACTATTTAGGAATAAAATACTTTCATATTATTTTAACCTGCTTACCCGAAGCTTTAATGGGGCAACATTCTTCTGAGTTCCACTCCAAAGTTCCTGTACTAAATCACCATAGCATTTAGCCATATGTCCCTTCATACCAATGGGATTTGTCCTAGAAGTTTGAGAGGAAAATTTGTTGCCAAAGAATTCTCATAAATCACAATCATGTGGGCATGAAAATGCCTAACATCTTACATCAAAATATCTTTTCTTTTTGAAACAAGAGAAGTACACCTTAGCCCTTATTTCATACTAAACAGGGCAAGTAAGATATGATGATCTTTACCAACCAGCGTGAAGAAAGAGGAGATTTAAGGGATACTAGTTTGTATCAAAGTCATAGAAGATTTAGAGGCCAATGGCTCAAGAAAGATTACCTGTTGAGTTCATAAAGATGTCTCCCTGAGATAAAATACTGTGTCAGTGGTTGTGTGTTACTAACACACTGGATGCTTGAGTTCATGAAGCATGTGTTTCCCAGGTTGCTCAGACCTGTGGCTCCCTTTTCTGTGGGAACTGGAACAAATAAAATGAGAAGCAAAGCCTAGCTGTAGTAAAATGTAATAGGACAGTTACTTGTATTCAATGCAATGATTTTTATAACTCTTTTTATCAGTTAAGGGTGCTAATCTTTCTCTAGCAGGTCTTTCGAATGCTAAAGTCGAGAAGGTTTTTCACGGAGGGTCTGGCAATCATGATGATCCATGGTCATTTGTAACCCAGAAGCACCAATTATTCTCTTTAATTGCCATGATATTTTTTAAAGAATTCAAACAATTATTCTTCTAGTAAGTCTTTAAAATATATAAATTATTTAATTGCAGGGTTAGAAAGAAATTTATAAAATAATTTGATGCTGGGTTTACCAACATCAAATGCTGCTTCAGGAAAAAAGAAGAGGGGGCTTAACTCATTTTGAACTACAAGATCAAAAGTTGTCAGCACTTTAATAGTTAAGAGAAGAAAAAATAAGAATACATTTAAAATCATTTCTGATAATTAAGCGATTTAATGATTAAATGATTTAATCATCTCCATACATTTAAAAACACTACACTGGAGACTTACCCTTGTGTCTATCTATTTTACTACTATTTGCTATAAAAGACATCTCCTCGGGCCAACTCATATCTTTGTTGCGAACTGGAAAGACAGATAGGAATGTGTTAATTTTTCATCCAACCAATTCTTGCCCCCTCAATTGCTTCCATTTTTTTTTTTTAAAGAGTTATTTCTAAATCAGAACATCAAAAAAATTAAGTTAATTTTACAATACATGTTGCTCAATGACGAGGACACATTCTGAGAGATGCACCATTAGGTGATTTTGTCACTGCACAAACATCATAGGGTATCCTTACAGAAACCCAGGCTATATGGTATAGCCTATTGCTCCTAGGCTACAACCCTGTACAGCATGTTGCTGTACTGAACGCTGTAGGCAACTGTAACATAATGGTAAAAGTATCTGTGTATCTAAACATAGCAGAGGTACAGTAAAAATACAGTATAATCTTATGGGACCACTGCCATATAAGCGGTCCGTTGTTGACTGAAACATCTTTTATGTGGTGCTTGACTGTAACTAGCTCTGAAACCATTCCTATGCTTTACACTGGGGTCTTTAAAGTCACTTGGTTAGAATTAATGAGCTATTCCTTCAATTACCTACTTGAAGTAGAATTATACTCAACTATCTACAGAAGTAATTAAACCTCAAAAATAATGGAATTTCTTAAACTTAAAACATTAGAAATATTATAATTCTTTCTTAAATTGCAACAACTGTCAGAGTAATCTATGCATTTTAATACAAAGGCAGCTAGCAACGTTTCCATGAATCTTAATGGGAAAAGACACATTAAGTTTTCAATGACGTGTGTCAGTGTGTAAATCCATGTGTGAATATATAAGTAGCTCTGCCAGTAAGTAGCCAGTTTTGATGACTAGCCTTTCATAGCCTGTGCTACTATGCAAGAAAGCTACTCTTCTTACTCAAACTCAAAGAGGTAGCTTGAAAACTTTAAGAAACTTTGTAAACTTGTAAGTGAATTCACTTGTTTTTACTCACCATTCCCACCCCTTTTCAGCCAATGACTATAAACAAATTTTTTCTTTTAAAATAATCTAAATATTAAGGTAAGATTACATAGGAGTTCAATGAGTTTTCTTTACCATAAAAACATAATGATCAAATAATAGTTGCCATGGGAAAAATTATATAATGGATCATTAGTGAGTAATTCTTTAAATTCTTCTCCTAAAAATCTAATATAGATACATGCTTGCATCTTGTACCTTCAATTACCAGGTGCTGTTCATCCTGGATTTTCAAATATTCCAATCTATGATCCTCATCATCCAGCAGAGTAAGGTAATTCTATGTAAGGAGGAAGAAATGTTTTTGTTAATTTGGTTAGTAAACTTGAAACAAATACAGAAATAAAAATGAATGGCAATTAAAAACTTCCTTGCAGTTACACAACTCTTGGTACATATATTTAACATATCATAGTTGTTTACAAATATTTATTACAACTTAAGTGGCAAAATTAGGGAAAGACAATGTGAACTTCATATACATTCTCTACTCCCTAAAACAAAATTATATACAATTTTTGGAGGGACCAGGAAAAGATCTGTCATACATCATGCCAAAGTTCACCAAGACCTAAATTTTCTGAAAAGCTTGCAGAAAAGAAATTTTCTTTAGTACCTAGTTACGCAATTCAGTAAGTGTGCTGAATGGAACTTGATTACTTACTTGGAACTGAGAATGTAAAATCGAAAGTCATACGGCAGAATTATACATTTTTGTTTATGTTCACCCTGTCTAAAGTGCTTACAGAATGAATTCCTTGAATTCTTGCAACAACCCTCAGGGACATACTATTATTTTCCCATTTCACTTAGAGAAAACTGAGAGAGTTAAGTGACTTGACCTTAGTTACACAAATAAAAAGCGGCAAAGCCAGAATTTAATTCCTGGCAATGTGGCTCCAGGAGCTGTGCTCTTAACTACTATATGACACTGCCTCTCGATGGCGACCAAAGGAGGATTTAAGAAACAACACACTAGGGAATAGAGAAGTGGTTAGAACACACTTATGATCCAATTACAGAGTATCTTCTATATTGAATATATCAAGAATATATACAAAATTAACAGCATAGGCTCTGAGGAGCGTAGAAGATAGGGGTCAGAGGACGCAAAGGAGGAATTTTCACTGTATACTTCTGTATTGTTTCAATTTTTAAACATATATATGTTACCTTAAAATAAATTTAAAATAGTGTATTTAGTAAAAGAAAAAAGATATTTGCCATTAACTTTATAACAATATTCTTTCCAAAATGGTACTGTCCATGGTGACCAAATGGATCTCTAGTGAGAAATATCTACATGTATGCATAATAATTTAAAAGACAAAGTTTTCATTGAGATCCCACACATGGGGCTTATAGCATAATTATTACAGACAAAAACTCCATACTCATGAAATGTGATTTAACACTTAATCAGACTCTTCTTCAGTCTGAGATGCCTCTTACCTCACTGTTATATAGCCACAGGCGCATATCTTCCTCTTTAATGCGCAGCCTTTGAGATAGATATTCATGAATTTCCTTGATGGTTTGCATTCGACTAAAACAGCCTGTATAGGCTAATACCCGCTTTAAAGGTGCATTCGGAGAAGGTACATTTCCTATGGTTACAGCAATCACAATAAAGAGAAAGGCAGATGTAAAAAAAGTACGTCTTGCAGCAACGGGGACCATACTATTTTAGGAAATAATGATAAGAAATGAGAATTACAGGTCTAATAGTTTTATAGATGAAGAATATCATAAAGCTTTAAACTGAAGACCGGCGATTCAAGTGTCTTAAAGTGAATCCAAAGCTTCAACTTTCAAAAGAATAACAAGAGCTCTGAGGCCCAAATAACTGGCAAAATTTGGATCCCAAGAAGAGTGGGAAATGCTAGCAAACAACTGGCAGTGGTTATCAGGCTGTCCTCAGTTGGGTCACACTCAATGGCAAATGAAATAAAATTCAGTGTAAGAGTAGGGGGTATAAAATAGGACTGGATTTGAATTCCACAGATATATAATTGGATTCATATGATCCACTCTTTCTTTCCTTTTTTTTTTTGTTTTGAAACAAGAGTCTCACTCTGTTGACCGGGCTAGAGTGCCATGGCGTCAGCCTAGCTCACAGCAACCTCAAACTCCTGGGCCCAAGTAATCCTTCTGCCTCAGCCTCCAAGTAGTTGGGACTACAGGCATGCACCACCATGCCCGGCTAATTTTTTCTATATATTTTTAGTTGTCCAGCTAATTTCTTTCTATTTTTTTAGTAGAGACAGGGTCTCACTCTTGCTCAGGCTGGTCTCAAACTCCTGAACTCAAATGATCTGCCTGCCTCGGCCTCACAGAGTGCTAGGATTACAGGGGTGTAATCCAGTTACTCAGGAGGCTGAGGCGAGGATTGCTTGAATCTAGGAGTTTGAGGTTGCTGTGAGCTAGACTAATGCCATGGCACTCCAGCTTGGGCAACAGAGCAAGACTCTATCTAAATAAATAAATAAACAAACAAATAAATAAAAGCTGTGCCTTAAAATGGTCCACCCTGGCTGTATTTTATTGAGCAACCCAAAACAAAACTATAAACTTAACATACCAGTATAATCCCTTTAGAGTATAAGCATACATTGCAGGTAGTTTTTTTTTACCCATTTAATGATGACTTAGCTTTTTTTCTCCCATTAAATGTGCTTTTAGTGAGTCATCACCTACTAAACAAAGCTGAGAAAAATATTGGCATTATCTTTTTTTTTAGAATTCTCAAAAAGAATTCACTCACCTAAGATAAGCTAAAAAGCTATCTAAGAAACAATGGCTTCTGTAGCCATACCTGTAGAAAAGGCTATACTGAAGCTATTGTAACTGTGGTAAGGCTTGAATGCCTGTCATTTCATAAGGAATAAAAGAGCCTAGTAAACAGCTGCAGTAAGTTGAGTATTTGAGAAAGATGACCATCATATCATGGCAGAACAAAACCCAACCGTGATCAATTTTTAAACACATAGCAAAGCAAATCTTTTACTATTAGCAAGCAAAGGATAATCCCTAAAAGAAAAACAAAAGAGCAAATTTCTCCAAATATACATCAGGGAATTAGTCATAAGATTACAGCAAGAAAGCATATTTTATAAACTTCAAAATGATTAATGATTGATTTCACAACTAATTAGTAAAGAATAAAATTTCAAATTAAAAACAAATTTGGAGCATCGGAACTACGCAGTACTAGGATTCAGAAGCATATGCAAAAGTATAGTGTCCAAGTCAATCTCTATTGTTCAAGCCACAATATAAAAATTTGAGTTCTACAAGTTTTTATAGCATAGCTCATTAAGCAGGCAGCCACTTATTATACATAATTTTGTGCTTTTGAATAGCACCGATGAATCTAATGGAATTTACAGAAGCAGCAAAAAATCTAGGATCAGCACAAGAGTTACAAAGAATACTTACTAAAAGCGCAACAACACATCTTGCCTCTCATGTTATCTTTCAAAGAGAATTGAAAAAGACGTGCTGTGGGTGCCATGAAAGCAAGACTAATACTTCTATTCAATGGAAAATAAAACCGAGAATGTTTTATAAAGATTCTATTTCACCGTTTTTTGATTTTAATGCTTTCCCCAAAGACAAAGTTTGGTTAGGCAGAAGCCACTGCTTAGCTATAATGCTTACCAAACAATAAAGAATCTTCATATATTATGTGGATATAACCTTTAATGAAGACATAAAATTAACCCCGTTCAATTTCAAAGGAGAGCTAGTACTTACATAGGGTTGGTCTGGGTTTAGAGGTAGTTCTTGCATTCTAAGTTATATTAATTAAATAACATTCTAGTGTTAACACAAAGTCTCATACTTTGTGTAAATGAATGCTCATTATTTTACTGCTGAAGAACAATTTCAAATACTTGCAAGGCAAAAGCAAAGAGCAAGTTTTGTCCATCAGTAAAATTTAATCTCATAGAGAAATCAAAGGAGAACTTTTGCATGCTATACATTAAAATAGGAACTTATATGTCATTTTGATAGGCTTGGTGTTTTTCAAAGCAAATATGTCACTTTCATTTTTTAAAATATCCCCTTCGCTCTGTATTATCTGTCTTTTATAAAGCCTCTTTAGATCCACCATAAGAAATGTACCACGTTTGCCATACGAAACAAACAAAAAACACCCCTAAAAAGCAAACACAAAAGATGATAGTGTAAAAGGAATCACTTCTTATAAATCTGAGTGGATTTGAAAAGACTGGTCAATGACTGGAAGACTACAACCAAGTCTAGTAATAATTTACAATGGCTAATCTCAAAGAAATAAAGTATGTAAAATCTATTTCTATTTATTATCTCCATGTTTACAAACTAGAAAAGGAAATATCCCTTTTCAGTTTACTGCTGGGATTTTGCCTCTATCCCACATCGAGTCTTGCGCATGACCATAGATCTAAGCCCCACAAGTGATTTCCTGATTTTGCATGAAAGCGATGGGAATGTGAATTAACACAGTGGCACCAGACTCTGAGCAAATTGGTTTTCTTTTTTTTTTTTTTTAAGGAAAATGCATGGTATTCTTGCTGCATTCTTAAGTTACCTCTAGGTAAATGCTGAGGAAACATTCTCAGGCTCATCATACCCATATTCACCCAGATGTTAGACTGCTGTGTCCGAGTAGCAGGCTGCTGTCTCAGGAAGAGAAGATAGCGAGGAAATAATTCCAGTTCTGGAATGTCTGTCTTGCTATTCTTGATCACCTGTTGTTTTAAAAGATAAAAAGTGATCACTCTAGAAGAAGAAACAAAACTTGTCATTTTAATCTAACTTCTTAGATTTATCTTTAAACTAAATGTTTGACAAGTTCACCACTTACATTTCAGTAGATTACTGAAACTCATATATTTAAGTTATATGGGTTTGAATACTCGAGCTCCTGCTTCTACACCCATCTTTTAAGATTACAACTCCTGTGGGTGTTTTCTCCCTTTTCATTTAAAAGGGAGCAACAAAATTAAGGGGAAAAAACCTTAAATAGTATCTATAATTCTTGCTACCCTCACACCATAACTATTTTTTTTCACTTTTACATATTTCACATATATAAATGACTGATGTTTTAAGGACAAATTAATAAAACTGGAGTTAAAAGTAAAAAAACTATGGAAGTACTGAAGTCATTAACTATATAGTCATGTTGCCACCTAAAGTTTAGCAATTTACACTGTTCCCAGTAATGTATGAATGTACCACTTTCACAAAACCTTATCATTGGACATCATTAAAAAACACCTCCATTTCTTTAATACATGTAAAGAATATTATAAATTACTTAAAATTTTATTTATTGTATTACTAGTAAGAATAAAACTGTTTCCATATAAAAATTTTCTATGTTCTACTTGAGTAGCCAGTTCGTTCATATATTTTTTGTCTACGATTTAAACAAAAAAATTGGATGTACAAAACTGAAGTTTCACATTGTTGGAATAGGATTTTTAAGTAGTTCTAACATGCTTACGAGCCCATATACACAGGAAAACATTTATTATTAAAATATTCTTTTATGAGTTTTAAGAGTAGCACATTATCAATTTTATTAATATATTCTAAAAGGATAGCAGGGTTAACACTCAAACTCTTTCAAACAAAATATCGTACAGAATCTTAACAGTCTCAGGTGATCAGGCTTTATTTTATTTCCCTTTAGTAACCAATATCTTATGCAACAGAGCATTTTTTATTATCAAGAGGGGGCAATAAAGAATCAAATAAAAACAATACTACAAACCAAACCTTTAGGACTATTTCTTAAAACTATTCTGCATGTTGTCATATGCTATAATATAACACTTGAAAGCGTCCATTTGGGAGGTTTTCAACTTCTATTTAAACGGTAAGTGGTAAAAGGAGCCCTCCCTGGCACACTCCTCTCAGATCACTGGAAGAAATAAAACCTGTCCACCTTGCCTAGACAGGCACTGACAGCTGCAAAGCCTACCATCACTTCTTATGATTTCAGTTTAAGTGTGCTTTTCAAAATGATTAATAATTCAACATCTGTTGTCAGACAACATAAAAATATACCTCTGGCAGAATGTTAACTGATAATGGAGTAGTTCTTAAAATATGTATCTTGCTTTTCAAGATAACAAGGGATTTTGTGAGCAAATTACAGTTTAACAAATTCTCACACACACACATGTACATACATACATTTACACATTCATTTACATTTTAATTATCCTTGACTATGAACTTGTTAAAAACTTCAATGTTACCCAGCAAACAAGAAATGCAATATAATCCCTTCATCTGAAAATTAGTTTAGGCATAATCTTTATAGAAGGGAATAAATAATATATATGAAAAAGTAAAACGCATGCATCTTTTGATATAGCAATTCCATTTATAGGAATCTACGTTGAAGAGATCATCACACACATTTGCAAAGAGAATGGTTACAGAAAATTGCTTTAAACAACTAAAAGCTAAAGGTAAACAAAATGTCCACCAATAGGTAATTGGTTAATAAATGATTTCTGTACATATGTGTGCATGTATGTAATGTATATAAGGGAACACTATTCAATTATTAAAAATGATGGTTCAAGTCTAAATTTATTAGCATACAAAGATATTTATTGTTTGTATGTTAGTAAAAACAGATCACAAAACAGCAGGTATAATGATTCATTTTCATAAAATTATCCACACATATCTATATATGTATTATGGATAGAAACAGAGGGATGCTTGGAAAGATGCACAACAAAACGTTGTTAGTAGGTATCTCTAGGTGGCAGGATATGACATGATTTTTACTTTCTTTTTTCTCTATTGCTTAAGTTGTTATTGAGCATGTATCACATGTACAAATACAATAAAGCTAGGTTTCAAAAAATATGATTTCTGTAAGTATGAAGGTGAAAGCATTCATTTTTAACCTTGCCATGGCTATAGTGTTCTCTAACTGGGAATATCATATTTTCAATGTTTTCAAAGCAATTTTCCCTGAAATCAGGCAAATTTATCATATTTAGAGATGAGAAAATACTACTGAGCCAGCAAATGAACATTTAACCCAGAAAAATTATGGTTTAAACTAATCTTTATCTGACATCAATGTTAAAAATATGACCTTTTGTGAGGCTCTGAACAAACTAATTTAATAATTATTATATAATGATGATAACAATGAGAGTAGCAAGCAGTCAACATTTATTGACCACTTACTATGAATCAGATGATGTTCTAACCATAGGTGTTATTTAATCCTCTTTTTTCCTTTTTTAGTTCCCTCCCCCTTCCCTTGTATTATTTAATTCTCAAAACAACTCTAATGAGGTAGGCAAAATTATTCCCATTTTACAGATGAGAAAACTAAGATTTAGAAACTGGAACACTGGCAATCTGAATTCAGACAGGCTCTAAAACATCAAACTATATATAACATTGAACCTATTCCTTCCATTCCATGTTAGCCATCCACTTCCACAGGCATATCATTGTATGGTTGATTCCTAATATAGTGCTGAATAAATGCTGAATGAATGAATGAATGTGAAGGAACCTAAAAGTATTTGTTCAACTAATTTGAACAGGTTTTGATTACTCTGCTGCCATAACGGAAGAACTGATTTGAGGACAGTGAGATTCATACAAAAAAGTACTGAAGACCCCATCTATGACTGCTCCTTATATAAGGCACTACTAGCTATACTTACTGGTCTAGGTAAGGCCAGGTTTGCTCCATACCAATGATAAAGTGCTCTCCACACAGGTTCTGGGACCATTTCATAATCTCGTCCATGGATCAGCTGTGGAGTTCGTTTTAATCGTCCTCCTTCTAGTGTTAATGATGTAGCCTGAAAAGGAATAAAAATATTGATTTTTAATATTACAAAGTCTTCTGTGTTTTAACAAAACCTAGATGAAGGAGAACAAACTCATATGTCACTACCCAGAGTTTCATGTTACCGGAAATACTGAACTTTTAAAGAGAGATTTTTATTTTGACTTTCAAAATAAACTATTTAATACAGGGAACTCAAGACAAATCATTTGGAAAAATCATCAGAGCATTTGGAAATAACACCAATTTTTGCAAATTTCTTTCAAACAACAAAAAATATTTTGGAAAAAAAATTTCCATATATAGTACATGTGAAACAACATTTTTACAGTAGCTGTCATAAGAAAGAATAACATTTCCAAGGATCACTGTACTATTTCTCTGTTAGTTCTAAATCATAAAATATTTTCCCAGAAATGTACTCTACAGTTGGGCCCTGGGTGTGGTGGTTTCCAACTATAATCCCAGCTACTTGGGAGGCTGCAGTGAGAGGACTGCTTGAACCTAGAAGTTGGAGGCTACAGTGAGCTATGATCATGCCACTGCACTCCCAGCCTGGGCAACAGAGTGAGACCCCATCTCTTGAAAGAAGAGAAGGGAAAAGGGAAAGGAAAGGAAGAGAAAAGGGAAGGGGGGGAAGGGAAGGGAAAGGGAGGAGGGAAGGGAGAAAGGAAGGGAGAAGGGAAGGGAAGGGAAGGGAAGGGAAAAGGGAAGGAAGAAAGGAGGAGATGGGAGGGGAGGAAGGAAGTATACAAAGAGACTTCGATCTACAACAGGGTAATTAAATGAATCACCAATGTCTTGCTATGTGCTAAAACCTCTAAATTGAAATTTACTGGCATCCTGAAAGAGAAGAACTTTAATTTTAGATGTGAAATTATTTACCTTTACTGGTTCTTGAGTTACTAGTGGCTGGTTATCAATAGCCCCTGGTTTCTGAGGATTAAGGTGCAACAAAATATTCCCATTGGCTCCTAGCAAACACTGGTTGTTATTGTCAGAAGTGTTATGTTGTCGAGCAAAGCACACATCTGCCCCTGGTGTGGCAGAATACAGAAAGCCTATGAAGAAAAGGAGGATGGAATCTCTTATTTTTAGTTATTATACATAAACAGGCTTAAAGATATGAACTCAATGGCCATGTATTGGATAACACTATTATTCTGTGGCATGTCAGTAGAGTTTTAGAGTCTGATAAATCTGTAGAAGATAGGAAATACGATATATCCTTTTCTGGATAATTCACAGCATGGCACTAAGTAGACTACAAGCTTTTAAAAGTATCACCAAGTGAACATTTGGATACCGTCCAAGAATATCTATTTAATAATAACTCATGAGAATTACATGTCCTCTGATAGGAAGGGAGGAAGTGAGCTAAATACTGGTTATTAAGTATGAAATGTCCGATTTTCTCAAGTACGAAGTTTGACAGTTGGTATCTCTGACATTTCACTTTGACACTTACTTTATTTTTATTCTGAAGGTACATCCTCATTCTTTCAAACACATGGTTTGGCTTGTGATTATCTTTCACAATATTTTTTAGAGCAATTTTTGTGAAACCATGGATAAGTAAAAAACTTGTGTTATTTTTGAATATGAGTTCTGTCGTGGAAATACTGCAGATAGCTCGAAATACCAATGAAATGTTTGGGAAGGATGTGGCTAATGAATGCACAGTATGTTGATGGTTTGAGAAGTTCTATTCTGGTGATTTTAATCTTGAAAATGAGCCATGTGGGTGACCAGAGACCAAGGTGGATAATGATGAGCTGACAGCTGTAGTGGAAGCGAATCCATCTCAACCTATGCGGGAACTGGCAGCAGCAAGGTTTGATGTTACCTTTCCAACAACATTGGATCATTTGAGACAAATCCACAAGGTAAAGAAGCTGGATAGATGGGTACCACATAAATTAAACAAGTGCCAGAAGAGAAATCGTCTTGAAGCTTCCTTTCTTTGTTGTCACTACATATAGGCGAATCATTTCTACAC